CCTTCCACCCAAAAAAAAAAAAAACAAACAAACAACTTTAGTTTCAATAAGGACATTGAAGTTAAATTCAATTTCAAATTTCATGACTCAATCATGATTACTCCAAAATTAAAAAATTGTTACTTAAATTGCAGCCACGCATAATTGCTATGTAACATACTAACTTATCACTACGCCACTTCATGAAAGTGTTTAAATAAAAAGAAAAACGTCTTGTAATCTTTTAATCTAAAGACATTGTCACATCCTTGGTTAATTTTATTTTTAGACTCTCAACTTTGACTAAGGCACCATTTGAGATAGATTTTAGAGCTCAACTTCTAATTCTCCAACGATCAGAAATTGTTTTAGCCATTTGACAAATTTTTAAAAATTGATTATAAAAGAATATGTACCATCTTAAGTCATATTTTTTAGAAATGGCATCTTGGAATTCCACTTGGAAGAGACAATAGAAGAATATCAGGAAGCTGTAAGGAAAGTACAGTAGGTCAGGAAGCTACAGGAGGTAGATTGAGAAGTCTAGCAGGATGGCTAGATAGTATCTACGATATCTGGTCATGAGTCTGGAAGAAACAGCAGATATTGGAGATTGCAGGAATTACAACAGGGGAAACGAGTGAAGTTTGATAGCTGAAAACATACTGTAATCCATATTGTCTATAGTGGAGGTAATTGACTTGGTCCCGAAGTTTTTCCAGTTGGATTTCTCCGTCATCATATTAGTGTTCTTTATTTACTGTTTTCATATTTATTGTTCATTATATAAATTGCGGTATTCAAAGATAGGATAATTTGAATTGTTTGACTAATTATCTAAACATAATTAACTTGTGACTTGTTGCTTGTTAATTAAAGTTTTAATTCTGCATTTACACCTAATCACCCCCCTCTAGGTGTAGTAGGGTCGAATCTTGCGTTTCTCATCTTTTAACTTCTCCAATAATCTATAATTAAAATATCAAATTTAACCGTAATTAATACATTTCTATCCAATGTTTATCGACATACCAAAAATAAATTGAGAACAAAATTGAATTTGATGGATTAAAGGTAATATATATTTAGTTGATATTTTTCTATTATATCAATTATGCTTTCATTTTTTAGTTTTATAAAATTGAAGTTTATTAATAGATATTTTTTTTTATTTTAAAATATTTATAATGAATACATTGTCTTAGAAAAATATTTAATAATATTGAATATTGTTATATTATACTATTGATGATAATAATACAAAAAGACATTATCATAATTAATATCCATTTCAGTAATTGGATAACGGGGTAGCAATAAATCATTTTATTTATAAAATGTTAAAATGCTGAATTTAGGGGCGGATACAGAGGCACATGACCCTCCAACTTTGGGGCCAATTTCTTTGTTTTTTTTATTAAATTTTTTTAATGCTTTTGTCTCAATTTTTGAAGTCATTATGAGATGTCAAACGAAATCGAAATGTTACATTTTTAATATCATTTCGAAGTACTCACAGCCTAGTTTTCTACATCATTAATAAAGCACAAAACGGTCAACTATAGCAAATGTTATGGCTTGTATGCTAACTTTAAAATTTTCGAGAATTTCAATACATGTTAATTTTAAAAATTCTACGACGATTGTATGCTAGCCGAATTTACAAATCGCCTATTTCTTCTCGAAACTCGTTCCAAAAACTACATTATAGACATATCAAATGGTTTAAACAAATATTGAAAATAGTTAAAAATGTGTTAAACGTGCGTCTTAAAAAGAGGCGTCTAGACTAACTCGTCTTTTCTTTAAAAAAATTCAATTATTTTTATTTTTGTGATATAAATTTCTCAATATAATTTACATAATTTTATTAGGAAATTTTACATGGGATATGATATCACAATTTTTCGAACTTTACATCCAAAAAAGTCATACCCTATGTAAATTTTCGAATGTAAAATTCCTCACAACTTTTTTATAAATTTACCAAAATGTCTGTGTCTGCCCCTGATGTTGATAACTAATTCTAAATAAAGTTTACCAAAAACTTAACTCATTTTTTCTCTCAATAAATTCTTTAATCAGTACCAAACCAAGTTTGAAATCTTAATTAGATCACCCAACTTTAATTTATTTCAATCAAATCACTAAAACCTTGATTTGGTTTCATTTCATTTCTATCGTGTTAGCCTAACATCGTTTCAAACCTACACGAATGTTAAAAATCGACAACAATTTGATGTCTTATGTGGACGTTAAAAATTGATATCTAATTAAGTCATGGATGCAAAATGTAAAATTAAATACTGTCTGCCATATCATAATCATGCGGCATATATCTTCAAATTTTGTATCCATGACTCGATTAGGTGACAATTTGAATTTGAAAATGTAACACATCAAAATTATCATCAATTTTTAATGTCTCAATGTCCACATAGGATCGAGACGTTATATTTAGTAATGATTGCTAATAGAGTGATTGCCGTCAAAATTAAATTGAAGTTGAGTGATAACCAATTAAAATTGAGTGACTTAATTGAGATTTTAATGGGAGTCCAATTGCCAAAAACGAAATTAACCATCC